TGGTGTTTTATTTGGACTATAGTTCTCTGGAGCAGGTATTAAGCTATGTCTTCCTTGTGCCTGTGTCAAGACTAGTATTTTCCTTAATGAAGGAATAGCAAAGCCAAGGTAGCAAAATAATGCTAATGGGAAGGGGAAACCAAGACTCCCGAGGGGAAGAGTTCACTTGGGGCTGGTAATCTTCATGGTCCACCTCAGAGACACGTAGCCAGGTTTCTACATCATCTTTACATTATCTAATTACACAATTTTACTTCCTTGTATGATGCTACAGTTTAAAACTGTACCTCATTCCCTTCCCTGCTTAATTCTTTCTCCAGAGCCCTTATCTCTTATCATACACTGTAATTCACTTATTATAATCATAATTACTTTTTAATCATTTTTTTAAATGGCTGATGTCCCCTCTAGAATTGAAGCTCCTGGAAGGAGCTTATTTTATCACTCATTCGGGGCCTAGAGTTGTTCTGGCACAAGATAGGTGCACAAGAAATATCTGTTGGATAAATGAATTATTAATCCCGATCAAAGCAATATTAATAAGTAATAACTGTGATCAAGTTTTTTTTACATGTATTTAATCTATAGACAACTGGTTGGATCTTTGACATTTTTTTTGTGTAAATCTTCTAATTGGATGAAATATGACAATAGGACCTGTACAAAAGCTCTGATGGTCAAAAGCCACATGGAACCCATTTTCATCAGCATGGCATACTCTTCTAAACATATACACGGAAGGATAAGGCTGTGCTGACGAGAATAGAAAATCTTGAGTTTTCCTGATGCAGGCAGACGTACCTGAATCCCTAAGGCTAAGGGTATGGTTTGGCTCAGTGTACTCGTTAACTATTTCTAGCAACAAGTTTAGCTGCTGCTTACCAGCCCCATGGAACTCAGAGACTCACGAATTTTATATCCTTATTTCTGGACAAAGCACTATCATCCAGTTCCCTGGTTCTTGGTCTAAGATCAGGCAGTTTATGAGAACTCAAAACATAAAGGTGACTAGAGGAATATATGAATTATTTGAGAGCTTCTCTTGTATTTGAGACGTCACATCACAGGAAATGCTTTCCAGCGGTGACATGTCAGTGTACTCTGAAACTAGAGTGGCTGCTCCAGCTCTTCCTGTCCCCCCAAGACTCCTACTTCGGCGGCCAATCTGGGGGAATGAAACTGGGCTTATCTGAGTGGCAGAGTTCGCTCTTGGTTGGGATTTAAGTAACCTCCTTCTCTCCCTCAGTGTGACCTCTTTCAACAACTGGGCTGAAGAACTGATAAAGGACTAGAGTTATCCAGTAATGGGAAGAACAACCGGCCTCATTGGGCTTAAATTAATATAGCAAGTTGGTGAGTCCAAAAAGATTGGGCATTTACAAGCCAGTTCTCTATAAGACTACACTAGTGACATTTGACTACTTTTGTGCCTGTGTCAAGACTAGTATTTTCCTTAATGAAGGAATAGCAAAGCTTATATATATATATATATAATTTATATATATATATATATAAAATTTTTTTATTTTTTATTTTTTATTTTTTTGAGAGAGAGAGTTTATGCCGGGGGCAGGAAGGTGGTACTGAGGGGGGCAGAAGAAGAGAGAGAGAATGTTAAGCAGACTCCATGCCCAGCACAAGCCCAACTCAGGGCTTGATCTCACGACCCTGAGATCATGACCCTGAGATCATGACCTGAGCCAAAATCAAGAGTTGGACCTTTCACTGACTGAGCCACATAGGTGCCCCTACGTTTGACTTATTTCTAAACAGAGGAAAACTTGGGTGAGTGTGTAAACATGTGCAAATCACAGAGCTGTGTAACACCTGAGCCACTCTTGATTATTTCATATATTTCAGTGTGGTCCTTGGGAAAAAGCCTCATGTAGGGACACCTGGATGGTTCAATCAGTTAGGCATCTGCCTTTGGGTCAGATCATGGTCCCAGTGTTCTGGGATTAAGTCCCATGTCAGGCTCCTTGCTCGGCAGAGGGCTTGCTTCTCCCTCTGCCTGCCGTTTGTCCTGCTTGTGCTCTCTCTCTCTCTCTCTCTTTCTCTCTGACAAATCAATAAATAAAATCTTAGAAAGCAAAAAAAAAAAAAAAAAAGCCTCATGTAAGCCATTGGTTTAGTGGTATATGGGAATTCATGAACTCCCAAGTTCTAAATCCATCCGTGTTTTGAGTATCTTGGCCAATTTATTTTGAAAAACCAGCTTTATTGAGATATAATTTAGCCATTTAAAGTACACAGTTCAATGGTCTTTAGTACACTCACAGTGATATAAACATCACCAGTCAATTTTAGACCATTTTCATCACCCCAATAAGACCCGTGTATCCTTTAGCAATCACTCCCCATTCCTCCCCAACTCTGCTCTTTCTGTCTCTATAGGTTTGCCTGTTATAGATCTGTTATATACATGGAATCACATAGTATATGGTCCTCTCCCATTTAGCATAATCTGTTCAAGGTTCATCCATGCTGTAGCAAGTATCAGCACTTCATTCCTTTTTGTTGCTAAATACTATTCCATTTTTCTATTCTGTATCACATTTTATCAGTAAGTGACCATTTATCAGTAAGTGACCATTTTGATTGTTTTCACTTTTTGGCTATTATGAGTAACGCTGCTCTGAACCTTTGTGTACCATTCATACATTTGTGTGCATGGACGTACATTCTCATTCTCTTGGATATATAGCTAGAAGTGGGATGGCTGGGTTATGTGCTAACTCTGTGTTAAACTTTTGTTTCTCAAAGATGTATCTATTTATTTGAGAGAGAGAGAGGGAGAAAGAGAGAGTTTGTGTGAGCAGACGAAGGGGCAGAGGTAGAAGGAAAGAGTCTCAAGGAGACTCCTTGCTGAGCTTAAAGACTGATGGGCTCCTGAGATCATGACCTGAGCTGAAATCGAGTTGGATGCTTAACTGACTAAGCCACCCAGGTACCCGTGCCCCAGTAACTCACCATTTTATATTCCTACCACCAATGAATGATGGTCCCAATTACTCTACCTCCTTTCCAACAAGTGTTAATTATCTGTCTTTTTTTTTTATTATGGCCATTTTGGTTGGTGTGAAATGGTACCTTATGCTTTTGATCTTCATTTCCTTAATGACTACTAATAGTAAGTACTTTTTCATGTGTTGATTGGCCATTTCTACATCTTCTTTGGATCAATGTCTCTTTGATTCCCTTGCCCATTTTTGTATGGCTTATTTGTCTTTTAGATGTTGAATTTTTCTTCATATGCCTTAAGAATGGGAGTATTGGAAGAAGAGCCTGAGACCTCTTGCCTGCTCATGCCTAGAAGAAAGCTTCTACAACACAAAGTGGGTGATAAGATGCCAGTAGCCTGCTTTTCCCAGGGTTCTACCATAGCCCTAGACTGGCATCTAAGTTGAGAGGGAGTCCTGTGTTCTTGATGGCAGCCACCTGGAATGGAGCACCATCCGCTAGCTGGAGGGCAGCAGGGAAGTGGGTTGTGGTTGAAATATCTCACACTCTTATTGTTCTTACTGAATTGCAGTAGTTTGTCTTGAATAAGGTTTTCTTCATTTGTTGTATTTCCTCAGAACAATTTCCAGAGACTAACTAGTTTATCTATAATTTTTGCCAGTGGTTGTTTTGCTATGAAAGTGGGTTCATGGAGCTCCTTACACAACCATTCTGGAAGTTGAGTTCCATTTGGATAATTTGTAATGCAAATGTTGCATCTTATATACTTGGTGGTAAAATAGCTTATGCTGACATAGTAAATAGAGAATTACAAAGGACAGTTTTTACAAAAGTAAATTTTGTAAATTTACAAACAGTGGATTAAGAAAACTGATTGTAGTTGAGGCCTGGTTAACTTTTCACTTTATATCCAGTCAAATTCTAGAATGCTCATGCATTTAGTTTGACAAACTATTCTTAATTTGTTGTTATTAAGTGGCTGAATAGAAATATTTGAATATTGAGGTTGACAGTGCATTTCATATGAGAGCTTATTATTGCTCTAGTAATCTATGTACAAAGCCATCAAAGCCATTGAAAGTTATCAAAATGATGCCTGTTTTTGAAAGCATAGGAATAATTAAAATATGCATACTAAATTATTAAAACCTCATTAGTTTTATGCATTGATCTAAAAAGTTCACAGGCAAAAATGACCATATATTTCTTAATTAATTCAAAAGAACCATCACACTACTATGTCTTTTAGAAAAACAACTTTCCCAATTTCCCTGATGAACTTATTTGTAGTTTTAGGGCTAAGATTTACATTTAACAATTCTTCAAATCTTTATTGAATTAGGGGCTGAACTCATCTATGTTAATTGCCAACCAGTTGAATGTCACTTTAGTTGACACAGACATAGAACTTCTGCTCATATCTAAAACCCTCTTCTTTCCATTCCTCACATCCCCACTCCCATGGCAAAGTTAACTATTCCTTCCTCCTGGGTTTTGGAAGTCTGGTTACTTCTGAATGATCACATAAGCATCTTTGAGAAAATACACACTGCTTAATAATCGCGAGAAAATGTTAAAATTGGAAGTTCTTCACTTTTTGGGTAGTTGTCTTGTGTGTACTATTGCCTAAAGTAGCTTTAGAGGCAAAAAGTATTATATAAGAACACAACACTAGAATATTTAAGAATGAAACCGAGCACCTCCCAAAGATATTTCCCTGAATAGTTACTGAACTACACAAAGATAAATATGAAAGTAATTCACAAAGTAATTTTCTCTTCTTTGGCTGGGAAAGTTTCGGTAATAAAGTTTGGCTTCTGTTGAGTGAAAACCTCTTAGTTTCTAACTACGTTAGAAAGGCAACTATGTTAACTAAGGCAAATGGAAAAACCCATTCAATTCTTAAAATTTTAATGCAGTTAAATAATAAACGGATAAATTGCATTAAAGCTAGAATTAATTTCTCCCCAGTAGAGACAGGAATTCTCTCCTACTAAAGCTACTTCAGCGTTCAAGCGTATATTTTGGAAGATGCTTACCTCCCGGTTGGGTTGGGTGTATCTCCCTGCGGCTTAGGTGAGCGCCCAAGCTTTGGCTCCTCCCCAGCCGCTGCGAGCTTCCCACTGCGCCGGGCGCCTCGTAGCCTCCTGGAGTTAGGTGTTCGGCCCCGCCCTCTGCACTATTGCTAAAACTCCAATTCTGCCAGACCGATTCCGGTGATTAATTATTGACAAAAGGAAAACACTCCCACGCAAACTTGTGTCCAACCGCACTGCTCCCAGCGATTCCTTCCAGAAGAGAATGCCGGCTGCACCACTCCCCTCCCCCCCTTGCTCTACGGTCCCAACTTCCCACACGCGGCCACTCTCTGTCCTGGGCGACCGGGCTCGTCCTCGGAGGAATGCAGCCCAGCGACTTCTACATTTTTAAATTTGGTTTTCTGCAGCTCGTTAGCACTTCTCCAAGGACCAGCCTTTCAGGAGGGGGCGCTTTCCGGATGCAGGGGAAGCCAGGGCTCTGAGAGCAACGGAGGAGGCTAAGGCGTCGCTGTCACCTCCGGCTGCTGCAGTAAAACCCCGAGCCGCGGCGGGGATGGGGAGGAGGGGAGAGGGAGGTGTCCTCCTCCTCTCTTGGGCTGGGAGCCCCGACACTACCAGAGGGGCACGTCCTTTGATAGTGGTGGTGGGGGCGAGCAGATAAACGGGAGGCGCGAGGTGGGCGCTTCGGGGCTTTAGCCGGAGCCAGCGTTAACCCGACCAGGAGAAGCCTGCGCCCCGCATCCATCCATCTGCAGACTTGGGCAAGGGGGCGAAGCTCGGCGGATGCTGAGCAGGACTGCGGTGCGAAACTCGGCAGCAGGCTGCGAAGTGAGCCCAGGGCTCCGGGTCGGCCGAGCAGGCATCCCCCTGCATTTGTTGGTCAAAGATCGAAGAAAGTAAACCCATTGAGCGCCGGCAGCTAATTTTGCTGCCTTTGAACGCGCAAGAACGCCTCTCCCCGCCCCGCTCCCACCATCCTGCCACCTTCCCTCCGCCCCTTGGCTGGGAGGTTAATCGTTGAAAAACTGGGCTCCCCCCGGGGAAGCAGATGGAAGGATCGTGCCCGGGGAACTTGTGTGTGCTCACTCACAAGTGAAGAGAGTTAATTCGGGCCCGGACTGCAGCAGGAACGCAAACTGGGGAAAGCGAGCTGGGAGGCGGCTCGGCGGCGCAGACACGCGCGGCGCGGGCTCCTGCCGTTCCGGGGCCGGCGTGCCCAGCGCTCGCGCTCCGCTCTCAGCGATCTTCCCGAGGAGGCGCGGGACCGCGAAGAGCATCTTCCCTGGAAGCCCGCATCCAGAACCCCAGCGATCCCTTCTCTCCCGAGGGCAGGGTGCTTAGGTTTAACCCGGTGGCTGCGGGCTGCGAGCGCAGAGGCCCGGAATCTCCACCACCGAGCCTCGGCCCCAGACCCGGGGGTGTCGGGGGCCCAGAGCCTCTTCCGATTAACGAGCGTTTGGGCCACAACTGCCAGTCAACCCCCACCGCCGAGGGAGGAGGCACTGCACATGCTCGGCCAGGGCTGGTCGTGCTGAAGCGCGAATTTGAGCTGCGGGCAGGTTTCGGCTCATTTTGCAACACTCTTCCAGCAGGTTCCAAGCCGCGGGTGCCACGAAGAGGAAGACTTCCGTTATTGCGAGGGATGTTCTGCACGGAGGAGGGACTGCGTCCCCAAAGGAAGCTGTCGGTGGTTGGGGGTCAGGGAAGGGACCCGCGAGGAACTGAAGCCGCTACTGGCCAGATTTTACATCCTTATGTTTTCCTTCCTTGGGACTGTATCTAAATACTGGCAACCACTGCTAGTATTTTTTATTTCATTATCACTTTGTGTTGTTCACATCCTTATCTCGCTGCTTCTCCTGACAAACCTTGTAATTTCGGCAGAGCAAGTAGGACCACACCATTGAGGTGTGGAAATAGATAAGGAAATAGAAAACCTGAAAAGCGACTCGCCCAGGGTCGCCAAGCCCGTTGTGCGGCAGGGCCAGTACCATTGCACTCGTTTTTTAGGTCTCATTCCTCATTATCTAGTTTCCTTAATAGATCTTGACAATCACCAGGTGATTGTACATTTGTGGAAGTGCAGAAACAGGCCTCACTTCTCCCTGCCCAAGTTTTGTGAAACGGGTAGGAGAGACCTTGCAATTACTTCAACTGGAGGTGGGGAGAAACTGGTACATTTGGCAGAAGCATCCAGACTATTAAAAAAGATCTTAAATGATTTATGTGTAATATAACCACACACAGATAAAAGATACGTGGGTTTTTTCATTCCCAATGGAAAATAGTTGTTTTTTTTTCTATCTAAACAAAGAAGAAACTTAACTAGATCATAAAATAAAAATCACATTTTTAAAAGATAGTGATCAGATGGACCACATCATCTATTGAAGCACAATGAGGATAAAATTAATCAAAACAATTAAAAAGAAAAAATTCCTTCTCATTGATCTACAACTGGAAATTTAAAAATGCTTTAAATCTAGATTAAAGAGAAGAACAAGGGGCACCTGGGTGGCTCAGTGGGTTGAAGCCTCTGCCTTTGGCTCAGGTCGTGATCTCAGAGTCCTGGGATGGAGCCCCACATCGGGCTCACTGCTTAGCAGGGAGCCTGCTTCCTCCTCTCTCTCTGCCTGCCTCTCTGCCTACTTATAATCTCTGTCTGTCAAATAAATAAATAAAGTCTTAAAAAAAATAAAGAGAAGAACAAATGAGAAATTACAAAATCTTTAGAAACAAGAAAAAAATCCTACATAACAAAATGAGAATATAGAAAAGCAGAAATCATAAACCTTAAATGTATTTGTTGCAAAATAACATACAAACCGAGAAACTTAGAAAAAATTGCAAGAGAATTACATTAACTAGTAAAGACTAAAGCAGAAATTAATGAAATAGAAAAGTAAAAATCCAGGAGAATTGATCCATAAAACCAAACAAACAAACAAACAAACAAACTTATTCACTGAAAAAAAAATCAAGGAACAAAGACACAAGTAACATTGGGAAGGAAAGATGGTATGTAACCACAGAAAAGGACGATTTTTTTTTTTCAAGTCGCAAATGATGTTCTTTCTCCATGAAGAGGATTCTCCCTTTATGCTAACTACAAATGGTGAGATAAGAAATAGTTAAGACACACCACAGCTTGTAGAAAGGGGAATAAGTTTTAAAGAACCAGGCAGAATTGTTTAGAATACAATAGTATGAGAATTTGAAGTAATTATAATTGTATCAACTGAACATTTTGAACAAGGTCTTTTGTTGTCATTATCATAAAGCAGCTGTTGAATACCTGAAGAACACATGCTTGCCGGAGTAGAAATCTTTTAGAAGTAGTAAAAGTTAAAAGTAATAGAAGAGTATATTTCCTTAGGTAACCTGGAAGGTTTGAGGACAAATACTGGAAGGGAATGGCATCACTTTGTAAAGCTGTACGAGGTTGTGTGGAATGTATCTGGAGTTCAGCATACCAGAAAGGAGAAAAGTTGTGAGAATCCACTTGGAATAACCAGCTGTCAGTTACCAGATCTGGTATGCGTCTGCTGAGAACCGTCTTACTCCTACGGGAGCAAAATGAACAGTGTGAAATGTGAGTTTTCTCAAGCTTCCAAACTTAACCAGAATGGCACAATAGTAAAAGTTACAGACTTTGGGACAAAATACCCCTGGGTTTAAATACCAGCTTTTCTACTAACAAATTATAGTCTAAGACAAATTCTCTTGTATCTCTATACCTTAATTTTCTCGTCTGTGAAGTGGGAATAATATTGACTTCATTGGGTTCTTCTGAAGGATTAAATGAACCACCGTTTACAAAGTACTCATACAGTTCTTCATCTCCCTCCCCATTTGCCTCTCCTTTTCCCTTCCTTCCTCCATTCTGCCTTCCCTAAATACCCATCATTCAGGAACTTCTCTTCTGTATTTTGACATTTTTTTCTATTTTGTTAGTAGAGCTCTGTGTTCCTTCCCTTTCTTTCAGTGACTCAGCCACCTTCTCCATTACTCTTTAGCATTCAGAAATCCAAGCATCATGACTGAGCACCTTTGGAATACTTTAGAAAGACCCTCCTGAATTAAAAATTAACTCAGCCCCTCTCTTATAAAAGTGCGTGGCAAAAGCAGGATTGCCCACCTGCCCTTCTGTCTTTCCTTCCCTCCCTCCCTTCTTTCCTTCATTTTTAATACATTTCTGAAGTTCTTATGGGGCTATGCTCTAGTAGCATGAATGACATTGCTCCAACTCACTGATTCCAGTTTCACAGATATGCAGATGCTTAGGCTGAAGTCTCTCATGAGAGGACCTAACCCTTAAACAGTCTCTGTTTGAATATTAGGATAAAGATCATACTAATAACCAGAGTCAGTAGTTCTAGAAATTGGAAAAGCAGTAATATTTCATTAAGGAACTAATGTGACCATTCCATTAATTGTTAACAAACATGAGATGTATCATAATACGCACAATTCTTGCCTTTGAAAGGATACTTCTTAGCAATAAAGAGTCCCACGAAGAACAATACAGAAACCCCCAGAGCCGCTGTAAGACCAGTTTAACAAAAGACTCTCAGGAGCATCTATTATTCTAAAGCAACCTCAAACACTGTCTTTACACACACTATCCAGTGTGTATCTACAGCTATTTGGACAAGACAAAGAAGACAATGGAAAGCCAATGAAATCAAGAGAAAAGAATAAAGCCCCAACTAACTATATCAGCAATCTCTCTCTTTATCAACACTCATTCTCTTATGTACATTTTATTTTCAGGAGGAGAGAATGTAAGAAGCCCAGTAAGAGGAGTATTTAATAGCAAAACCAGAAATTTGAGATAAATTTTATTGACTTCTTCCTGGTTTACTTTCATAATGTGCAGATTAACTCTTATTTTTAAAATTAAAAAAATTTTTTTTCAAAGATTTATTTATTTATTTGAGACCGAATAAGCCAGCTTGAGCGGGGTGGTTTGTGGGGGTGGGCGTGGGGTGGGGAGGAGCAGAGGGAGAGGGATAAACAGACGCCCTGCCGAGTGTGGAACTTGACTGGGGACTGGAGCCTGAGGCAGGGCTCCAGGCGGGGCTTAATCCTAGGACCCTGAGATCATGACCCAAGCCAAAGTCAGATGTTTAACTGACTGAGACATTCAGGTATCCCCTTACCTTGTTTTTATTTATTTTTAAATTTTTATTTATTTATTTTTTTAGCCTTTAAAAGAATTTTTTTTTCTTTAAACAAGGCTGGAATCAAAGATAAATAGAAGACACAACAGTTTTTTTTTTTTAATTTTATTTTTTATAAACATATATTTATTTTTTCCCCAGGGGTACAGGTCTGTGAATCTCCAGGTTTACACACTTCACAGCACTCACCATAGCACATACCCTACCCAATGTCCATAACCCCACCCCCCCTCTCCCAACCCCCCTCCCCCCAGCAACCCTCAGAAGACACAACAGTTTTGCTGTGGTTTTGTGTTATTTGGGTTTTGGGGTTTCTCTTTTGTTTTTTGGGCATTTTTTTCTTACAAATACAAATTAAACATGAAACAACACTATTTCAAAAGACATCTAAATTAGTTGCATCCTAGACATTTAAAACCTATCCCACAATTTAAATGGTAAAAACTGTAGGCTTATAATTGTTCTGTGATCACATATCAAAAGAAAAAAAATTCTAATACCTTTTACTCAGTTTTTAACCATACCAGCAAGAATCAAAACTGCCAGTTTTTCCAATGACAATTTCTACACACCAGAAGGTAGTCATGACTCTCAAAGAAGAAACGATTTGGATTTTTCCTGCCTTCAAAATGTTTATCAAATCTTGTGTTTCTCACAGGCTT